AGCAGTAACTTGTATTCATATGATAAATAGCTTGTTTTCATATGAGCAGTAACTTGTATTCATATGATAAATAGCCTGTTTTCATATGAGCAATAACTCGTATTCATGATAAATAGCTTGTTTTCATGTGAGAAATAACTCGTATTCATATGATAAATAGCTTGTTTTCACATGAGCAATAACTCGTATTCATATGATAAATAGCTTGTTTTCACATGAGCAATAACTCGTATTTATATGATAAATAGCTTGTTTTCACATGAGCAATAACTCGTATTTATATGATAAATAGCTTGTTTTCACATGAGCAATAACTCGTATTCATATGATAAATAGCTTGTTTTCACATAAGCAATAACTCGTATTCATGATAAATAGCTTGCATAACTGGCTAATTGTTATGCAAATTAGATAATTAAAATGTGTTGTTAACAAGCAAAAACTATTCAAGTTTGCTGATCATGAAAACTACATTTATGTAGTAACTACAATGTATATTTTTACTTTACATTGGCATTCAACTTACCAACTTCACAGATCTGGTCTGTGATGACATATCTGACAATACCATTGATATCATCATCAGGATCGTTGGCTTCAACTCTAGTGACTCGAGATCCGTATTCAGCAGAAGTAGCCACACCTGAAATCATACCATGAATCTAATAAATTCCAAGCAAAGGTAATAACCAATAACATAGGTCCATGAGAAAGGAGTAGGAATGTCTGTACACTACATGTACCATAGCATTGGCTCCTGGTTCTAGTTGGAAAGATATGTATACATCCATGCTAAACATTCTTTTGATCATCATGTAAAGAAACAAAAATTGCTGTAATAAAGCTATAATCTGTCGTCCCTTTTGCCCCATTGGAACTACCTTGTGTTTACTTGGCTTCATTGGAACTACCTGTTGTCCACTTGGCCCCATTGGAACTACCTTGTGTCCACTTGGCTTCATTGGAACTACCTGTTGTCCACTTGGCCCCATTGGAACTACCTTGTGCCCACTTGGCTCTATTGGAACTACCTTGTGCCCACTTGGCTCTATTTGAACTACCTGGTGTCCACTTGGTCCTATTGGAACTACATGATGTCCACTGGCCCCATTGGAACTACCTTGTGTCCACTTGGCCTCATTGAGACTACCTGTTGTCCACTTGGCCCATTGGAACTACCTGTTGTCCACTTGACCCCATTGGAACTACCTGTTGTCCACCTGGCCCCATTTGAACTACCTTGTGTCCACTTGGCCCATTGGAACTATCTGTTGTCCACTTGGCCCCATTGGAACTACCTGCTGTCCACTTGGCCCCATTGGGACTACCTGGTGTCCACTTGCCCCCATTGGAACTACCTGCTGTCCACTTGGTCCTATTGGAACTACATGCTGTACACTTGGCCCCATTGAACTATCTCCTGTCCACCTGGACCCATTGGAACTACCTGGTGTCCACCTGGCCCCATTGGAACTACCTGGTGTCCACTTGGCCCCATTGGAACTACCTGGTGTCCACTTGGCCTCATTGGAACTACCTGTTGTCCACTTGACCCGATTGGAACTACCACTTGTCAACTTGGCCCCATTGGAACTACCTGCTGTCCACTTGGCCCTATTGGAACTAACTGCTGTCCACTTGGCCCCATTGGAACTACATGCTGTCCACTTGGCCCCATTGGAACTACCTTGTGTCCACTTGGTCTCATTGGAACTATCTGTTGTCTACTTGGCCCCATTAGGACTACCTGTTGTCCACCTGGCCCCATTGAAACTACCTGCTGTCCACTTGGCCCCATTGGAACTACATGCTGTCCACTTGGCCCTATTGGAACTACATGCTGTCCACTTGGCCCCATTGGAACTATCTGTTGTCCACTTGGCCCCATTGGAACTACCTGCTGTCCACTTGGCCATATTGGAACTACCTGCTGTCCACTTGGCCCTATTGGAACTCTCTGCTGTCCGATTGGCCCTATCGGAACTATCTGCTGTCCACTTGGCCCTATTGGAACTACCTGCTGTCCACTTGGCCCTATTGGAACTACCTGTTGTCCACTTGGCCTTATTTGAACTACCTGGTGTCCATTTGGCCCAATTGGAACTACATGCTGTCCACTTGGCCCCATTGGAACTACCTTGTGTCCACTTGGCCTCATTGAGACTACCTGTTGTCCACTTGGCCCATTGGAACTATCTGTTGTCCACTTGGCCCCATTGGAACTACCTGGTGCCCAATAGGACCCATTGGAACTACATGCTGTACACTTGGCTCCATTGGAACTACCTGTTGTCCACTTGACCACATTGGAACTACATGCTGTCCACTTGGCCCCATTGGAACTACATTGTGTCCACTTGGCCTCATTGAGACTACCTGTTGTCCACTTGGCCCATTGGAACTATCTGTTGTCCACTTGGCCCCATTGGAACTACCTGGTGCCCACTTGGACCCATTGGAACTACATGCTGTACACTTGGCTCCATTGGAACTACCTGTTGTCCACTTGACCACATTGGAACTACCTGTTGTCCACATGGCCCCATTTGAACTACCTTGTGTCCACTTGGCCCATTGGAACTATCTGTTGTCCACTTGGCCGCATTGGAACTACCTGCTGTCCACTTGGCCCCATTGGGACTACCTGCTGTCCACTTGGCCCCATTGGGACTACCTGGTGTCCACCTGCCCCCATTGAACTACCTGCTGTCCACTTGGCCCTATTGGAACTACATGCTGTACACTTGGCCCCATTGAACTATCTCCTGTCCACCTGGACCCATTGGAACTACCTGGTGTCCACCTGGCCCCATTGGAACTATCTGGTGTCCACTTGGCCCCATTGGAACTACCTGCTGTCCACTTGGCCCTATTGGAACTAACTGTTGTCCACTTGGCCCCATTGGGACTACCTGGTGTCCACTTGCCCCCATTGGAACTACCTGCTGTCCACTTGGTCCTATTGGAACTACATGCTGTACACTTGGCCCCATTGAACTATCTCCTGTCCACCTGGACCCATTGGAACTACCTGGTGTCCACCTGGCCCCATTGGAACTACCTGGTGTCCACTTGGCCCCATTGGAACTACCTGGTGTCCACTTGGCCTCATTGGAACTACCTGTTGCCCACTTGACCCCATTGGAACTACAACTTGTCAACTTGGCCCCATTGGAACTACCTGCTGTCCACTTGGCCCTATTGGAACTAAC